TTTGAGTTATTCCTAAGTATTGTGGATAATGATACTGTGGCAAAGCTTTTGATTTCGTCCTTCATCTGTTATATAAGTCAAGCCTTTATGTTCCTCATTCTCTTGCCCTTTCCCATATACCAGTCACAAAGAAATACAGTGGTACCTCGGCTCACGAACGCCTCAGTTTACAACCAAATAAGGTCGCAAACAGAAATTTTGCAAAAATTTTTGCCTCAGGTTGCAAACGCCACATCAGGTGACTATCGTGGGTGTCTCCCCCCTGAGCACACCTGTGATTGCGCCTGTCTCCCCCAAGTGCATCTGTGATCGCGCCCGTCTATGGCCATGCTCATGGTCGTACTCGTGCAGGGAAGACGGAGCGATCGTGGTCATGCTGGGGGGGAGGAGATGGCCACAATCATGCTGGGGGTGGGGGGGAGATGGCCGCGATCTTTGTTGTTCTTTGTCACTTTATTTCAAATTTTTGTGATTTAAACAAAATAGTTACAGAACAGATTAACCTTATTTACATTGAACCTTATGGAGAAATTTGACTTGGGTCACGACCAATTTGGGTTGTGACCAGAGTCGTGGAATGGATTACATTCGTGAGCCAAGGTACCACTGTAGTCCCAAATGAGTATGGAACTATAAAAAATTGTTTTTGCTTTTTGGTATGGGAAAGTGAGCTTTCTTGTTGTAAGGCCTCAGTAGCATGGAAGACCTTCATTTAGCTTCAGTAGGTGGCTAGCTATGCTCCTATCTGGACAGGAAAAGCCTGGCTTCTGCTGTCTAGCATTTTAGTGCCACATTAATACCTGACCATTCTCTCAGACATTTGTCAGTGTATCGTGAGGTGTAAAGGCAATTTTAGTAAACTCAGAACAATGATAATTAAAGCCCCATGGCAAGTGACTCTAATGAGAAAATATGATCATCCAGTTTTTAAAAAGGGTATTTCTAAAGTCAGAATTATAAACAATTCCAGCAGGGAAAAAGGGTGGAAGATAACAGAAGAAGCCCATGTGGCTTCACAAAAAGCTTAAAGATGATGAGGAAACAAACAAACAAAGATATGTACAGGAAGTGAGAGGAAGGCCAGGCTACAAAGCAACAATACAAGCAAGTTGCACAAATTTGCAGGAAAAGTGTCAGGATGCTTAAGCTAGGAATTAACTGAGGCTAGTGCGGAATGCTAAAGCAACAAAAAAGTCTTCTTCAGATATGTCCAAAGTGAAATACAGAAGAAAGAAATGGGGGTTTAACTACTCAGTATGGGTGCCAAAATGATAACAGAGGACAAAAAAGAGGCAGAAGTGCTCAGCTCCTACTTTGGCTCAGTCTTCTCCCAAAAGATCTATGACCTTCTTGACCAAAGGGAAGTAAAAGTTGAAAGAGCAGGATAGCACCTCAGGTTTGACTTGTAAGCTGTCCAGAGACCCACAATGTATTGGACAGGGTAAAAATCCCCAAACAAATAAAATAAAGATTGATATGCAAATGGTCAGAGATCTTCTAATTGGGTTGAATGAGTTCAGGTCCCCAAGGCCCAGTGAACTCCACCCTAGAATCATAAAGGAGCTGGAAGAACTTTCAAACCACTGCCTATTGTCTTTGAGAAAACATGGAGGACAAGGGAAGTACCAGATGACAGGAGAAGGGTTAACATTGTTCCTATCTTCAAGAAGGGACAGGATGTGTGTGGAGAAGAAGAACTTGGGTGTGTGTGGAGAAGAAACTATAGACCAGTCAGTCTGACATCAGTCCCCAGGAAATGCAGTCAGTCTGCAAACACCTTGAAAGCAATGCAGTGGTTACTAGAAGGCAACATGGATTCCTCAAGAACAAATCCTACCAGACTACTCTGATTTCATTTTTATTTTAATTGCGTAACCTCCCTGATGGACTTTAGGGTCATAATTTATCTTGACTTCAGCAAAGCTTTTGACAAAATGCCCATGATAACTAGCTAAAAGTGGGCTAGATAAAGCAATTATCAGGTGGATCCACAACTGGCTTCAAAGTCAGGCTCAAAGTCAGACTCAATGGCACCTTTTCAAACTGGGGAGAGGTAACAAATAGGGTACCACAGGGTTTAGTCCTGGGCCCAGCATTTTCTTCAATGTCTTCAGCATTTTTATTAATGATTTTGGATGAGGAAGTGTAGGGAACAAGTATCATATTTGCAGATGACACAGAACTGGGTGGGATAGCTAATACCCTGGAAGACAATAAAATATAAGGTAATCTTGATTGGTTGGAGTGCAGGGCTGAAAACAACAAAATGAAATTCATCAGGGGCAAATGCCAAGTTCTTCACCTTGCAAAAAGAAACCAAATGCATCATTACAATGGGGAATACTTGACTCCGCAATACTGCAAGTGAGAAGTATCTTGGAATTCACAAGCTGAGTCTGAGTCAACAATGCGATATGGCTGCAAAAAGGGCAAATGCTCTTTTAGGCTGCATTTCTTACCTGAAGAGAAATATCACTTCCAAATCATGTACTAGTTCCTCTTTACTCAGCATTGGTTAGGCCTCACCTGGAGTACTGTGCCCTGTTCTGGGCATCACAGTTGAAGAAAAATGCAGATAAGCTGGAAAAGGTCCAGAGGAAGGCAACAAGGATGATTCAGGGACTGGAAACAAAGCCTATTAAGGAGAGATTGAAAGAGCTGGCTGTGTTTAGCCTTGAGACATTGAAGGGAGATATGATAGTACTCTGCAAATACTTGGAAGGCTACTACAAAGAGGAAGGCCAGGATCTATTCTCATGCATCCTCGAGTGCAGGACACAGAATAACAGACTCATATAACAGGAAGCCAAGAACTTCCTGACTGTTACAGCAGTATAACAATGGATTCAATGACCTGGAGAGGCTGTGGGCTCTCCCACGCTAGAGGCATTCAAGATGCAACTGGACAGCCATCTGAGAGGAATGGTTTAACCTGGAGTCCTGCAGGGGTTTGGACCCAGTGGCCTTCTGCCCATTTCCATCTCTATTCTGTAATTTTATTATTCTATCAGGTCTTGAGTTTTTCTTCAAAAAAGAAAAGCTCCCTCCCTCCCTCTTTGAGCTCTCTCTCCCCCCTTTATAAGTTAATATATTTCTATGGTTTTTCTCAAGTATTTTTAAGATTTTAATCTCTGTAAACCACCCAGAGAACTTTGGCTAATTTGTGGTATAATATTAAAATGAGTTTACTCTTTGGTTTTCCCAAAGAGAAAACATATGTTCCTGCCCATATATTTTTGTATAGTTTGTTACCTTATGGTGGGTAGTATTGTTTACAGTAATTCACTTTGCATTTCACTTGCCTGGTGATGGATGTAAGGAACAGTTTTGAGCATTATAGGCAGTGAAAGCAGTAACAGGTTTAAGTCTGACGTATGGTTGGTGAAGGTTGCCAAGAGATATCTGGATGATGGCAGCATCTAGATGGTAGACTTTTGTTTTGGGGCTAGTGCCCTTGGCATGTGCTGTTGCTTTCAATCTGCTCAACCCATATATGTCTCAATAAACAGAAATACTACAGAAAGACTTATGTTTCCAGAGCTCAGAAGCATTTGGCACTATACAATTGTCATTCAAATCCACTAATGCATTGTTCAGGAGGGTAGAGTGTATGTTAAGAATAGGGTTCTTCCTTACCTGATGGGAAATTGTGGGGAAGATTATCTAGGAGGCAAGAAAGGACAGCAGAGTGTAGGAAATATATGGGTGGGTGCTGAAAGATCACCCCATTGATAAGCAAGTGGCAGCTCCTGGAAGGAACTGAGGTGGATCTGCTGAAAAGAGGAGAAGGTGGAGTAGCTTGAAAGTTTGTGGATGATTTAAAGTTACATCTGGAGACTTTAAGGCTCAGTTCAGACAAAGGGAACATAGAATGGGTCTTGGAATCATAGCCTTCTTCTTTCTCTAATTTCATAGATTATTAGTCTCTCCTTCCCTTCCTGGTTTGTAGCAAAGTATAGGTGGCTCTTACCACCTATACAACAAACTCTGGTTAGTAATTAGGTGCCAGACTAAGATCAAACCCGGTTTGCAATGCTCATTTGCAAGATAAGTACAAACTGTAGTTTGTTGATTCTGATGTAATAGTAGACTGGTAGGGTTCCTGAATTTATGTATGTGTGGCACCTTCATATGAACTGCAGTGCAAATGGGGCTCCTCTTCAACCTCCTCAGTGTTTTTAAGTGGTTTTCCCTGTGGTTCAGTGAGCTGGGGATCAGATAAGGCCATAGACCTAGGCAGGCAGGAATATTGGTCTGTGTCTGTGGGTGTGGTGGGCAGATGGTTCGGTCTATAACATCTGTTATCCCACACCTTTAACTGATGAGGGGTAACAGAGCTAGTGAGTTCTAGGCAAAAATACTTGGCCCCACCTGTACACTGGTTAAGGTATGCAGTTTGCTTCTGCCTGTATCAGTTGTGCAACACATGCCATATATTAGTCACCCACATTTGGATGTGTACTATCATCACTTAAAATCATTTGAAGATTAACTTTTTAGAAGACAGGTCTATTTTGTGATTATTACTCTCTACATTAGATCAGTGTCTCTTCCCACCAAAACCAGTGTAACTTTTTCTAAATAGAGATCCTCATGGCATTGAGGAAGAAGAGTGTAACTTGCAATTCAGGTATGTGATTAGACTCTCTCAGGTGCTTTTAGCAGGATTGAGATGCTCTGGAATAGATGTTTTTCCAAGAGTTCTGCCTTTTTCCAGTTTTTTCTTACTCAGTTTTTCTTAGTAACACAAGTTCCAAGGTACTAGTGCAGTTAATCTGTTGGAATGTATTTTCATTTCTAAAACTTGAAAAAATAAGCATTATATTGATAATATAAACAAGAGAGGAAAAGGGCAGAAGATACTATGCAATTTTTGTTCAGCTGTTGATGATGGTTAAAAGTTTGTGCAAAATGTCAACATCTTTTAAAATAAAACTCTTGTTCTAAGTTCATATCATAACTTTCCAGTAATATTTAATTGTTTTCTTCCTTTTTTTTAGCTGATTCAACTCCCAAGCGTGGCAGTCGGGTAAGTACTGCACAGTTGTGCCATTGTTCCCTGGAAGGCAAAATTTGTATTAATAGCTCTGTAATCATTTAAGGTGTCTCTCCTGGTGTGTTGCCCTTCATTCACTAAAAGAGCTCCAGAAGAATTGCTGGTGAGCACACTAGTGACTTGTAGAGTAATTGAAGAAACATTATTCAGGACATTTGGAAGTAAATTAAGAGCATAACATACTTCAACTAGGGTTAGGAAAGCCTGACCATGGATGAGTGAACCATATGCAGCTTGTCCCTAAAATTAGCTGAGCTTTTCAAGTGTTAGACTGAACCACTTAAGAAACACAAGTGTCCTTTTTCTGGAGTTATGTTGCCTATGCCATTCTTCTGTCCTTCATTTGGAGAGGGAGAATAGTTAACGGACATGGAGGGCAGGAGAAGCCTTGTGGGGATGGATTCTGCTCAAAATGGGACTAAACTATTTTAGTGAAAAGGAGTATGCATTTTAGCCTTTCTCTTTCATATACTGGTTCCCACATCCTATTTTCCTTTGCAAAAGTGTGACAAGAAGAGGTAAGTTATACTGTAGAAAGGAATGGGAGATAAGGAAGTATTTGAGCAGTAATATTTCCCCCACTCCAGCCCTGAATTTCCCTGTAGTTTTCATCTGCTCTTAACCATGTGAGTATTCAGACCTATCCCTATACATATATCCACACACATACGTACATATATTCAGGGGCTATATATAGTTACAAGGCTATGTGGAAGGAGTTCTAAGAGAAAAGTGCTTTTCTTCTTCTCTTTCATCATCAAGATATCCCATTAGAAGTACATTTTTCAGGTTAACAGGACAGTCAGGTAACATTACAGATTGCTGCAATGTAGTATGTAGATTCCCCCCTGAATCATATGCAAGGCTTTTGTTAACTTTGAATGAGGTTATTGTGTTCTGGAGCCCTGTTTTGCATATAAAAACGCCAGAGTACAATTTAATCAGACAGTTTGGCTCACAGGCAGGAGAATTACTCTAGTGTAACTGTATGTTAAATTGCATTTGGTCACAGTATACATAAGTGATCAAAGTAATTGCCCAATTTCAGTTTACAACCTTCAGACTAAAAATCTTGAGCATTGCAACAAGAAGCTTCAACAAGAAGCTAGTATTCCAACTAGAAATTTTTGTGTAAGTGTAGCATGAATTGCTGACTCAGTTGTCAAAACAATTGTCAAACAAACAATTTTCAAAAGTGAAGTTACTTATTTGTCCAGAAACTTAGAACCTGTTTTTCCAAATATATACTGGTTGAATGTTAACCTCCATGTTTGTTAGCATGCATTCTCTTCCAATGAAAATGAAATCTAGGTGTAATGGAGTTAAACGTACATCCTAAATTTCACACTATGAACAGAAGGAGTTCCATTCATGAAGAAAGTTGTATTCATGGAAGTGGGTTCTTGGTGAGGGGAACAAGTCCTTCTGTGAGTGTAACCGTCCTTCTCTAAACTGAAGTTCCTGCCTTTCACAGAACAACTGTGGTTTATGCCTACGTGCAGAAGTGCTATTGATGTACTTAGAAGCCAACACATTTCACACATAAAAGGACCTGTGAAGGTGTAATGGGGAGGGAGAGATCGTTCAACCTGATCTGAGAAATCCAGAATTGGTGGCTCCAAATGGGAACCTGGTCCCAATATATTCTCCCCAATTTGCAGAAGACTACTGTGCAGACCATACCAGCAGGATGTACACATGACTGAACATCTGCTGGTGACTTGATATACCTGATATGTACCTGATACACTGGTATAAAGAGAAGGGCAGGCATTTTACTTATGAAGGCTTATGAGTGTAGGAACTAGGGCCTACTCTCAAATTATTTTTGGTTCTCATGATTCATAGGGAACATTTCTTTAAAATAATTCTTATATTAACTTGGAACATTTACAAGAAGACATGGCACTTCTATGCTGCTGGAAATGTTGCAAATTTCTAATCAGTTTCCCAGGTGATGTACATTATGAGCAAATTACTGAATAAAAATCTTACTGTTGTGAAAATCTGCTCATAGATGGAAATACCTTAAATTATTAAAAGTCTTAAAATGGAAATATACTTAGCATTTTCTTCTAGCCAAACCGTTTCCCCATGTACCATGAAAACCTGATTAAAAGTTTGATTTTCATCAGAATCCTAGATCTGATGAAATTAAAGTATCCAAATAATTTCCAGAGTGAGTTCATGTAAATAGCAATTTGTTCTGTCATTATAGCACCATTATGAGTCTGAAGCTCATGTACAGACATGCTAAATAACACTGAGCCCCTCAAAAATGGAAAATACTCTCTCTTGAAAACTCATTTTATTCTTTCTGAGGGTAACATTTTTGCATCAGTGATGGGTGTGTTGGAGAGTGGGAATTGTGGACCTATTTCCTTTCTGCCATATCACATTATATTGGCACCTCCCCACCCATCTTGTCAGTTATTTCTGCATCTTACCACAGGCTCTTTTGATGTACAGATGGATCTCAGTTCACTGCTGAGGATGTTTCTTATTGTTTATCTTATGTGTTATTATTTTTATAGGTTTCCCTATATTTAGTGAACTGCTCAGCTTTTGGGTAGTATGGAAATGTAGTAAGTCAGTAAATAGATTTTGGCAGAGGAATGTCAACATGAGACTTTTTTTTTTACTGCAGTTCTTGCTAATCTTTTTAATAAATATGCCTCCCACGTGATGATGTGAATTTGAGATACAGTCATATGAAATTCAGTCCTTGCATGCTAGTATTTTATTTCCTGTAGTTCCAAGTCTATTTAACCATGTCAGAGTGTGTGTATAAATAACGTAACTATTTAAGGACTTCAGTGATCATAGAATCCTGGAATAGAAGAGTTCGAAGGAGCCATGAAGGCCATCGAGTCCAACTGCCTGCTGTTGCAGGACACCACATTATACCATCCCACTCAGATGACTGTCCAGTTTCTTTTTGAATGTCTGTAGTGTGGGAGAGCTCACCACCTCTCTAGGCAGATGGTTCCACTGTTGCATTGCTCTGACAGTGAGGAAGCTTTTCTTGATGTCCACCCTGAATCTGGGTTGCCGCAGCTTGAACTGATTATTCCATGTTCTACACTCTGGCATTAGTAAGAAGAGATCTTGACTTTCCTCTTTGTGACAGCCTTTGAGGTTCTTATAGAGGGATATTATGTCCCCCCTCAGTCTTCTCTTCTCAAGGCTGAACATTCCCAGTTCCCTCAGTCTCTCCTCATAGGGCAGTGTTTCCAAACCCTGGATCATTTTTGTTGCCCTCCTCTGAACCCTTTCTAATTTACTTGCATCTTTCTTAAATCTTGGTGCCCAGAACTGGACACAGTACTCCAGGTGAGGTTTGACTAGTGAAGAGAATAGAGGAACTACAACTTCTCATTACCTGGAAGTAATACTTCTGTTAATGCATCCCCAAATAGCATTTGCCCTTTTGGCAGCTGAATTGCATTGTTGGCTCATGCTTAGCCTATTGTCTACAATTACTCCAAGATCTTTTTCTTGTTCAGTTCTGCTGAGATGCCATTATATGATTGCAGTAAAATCTCATCTGTTGCAAATGAGTGTTCACATTGTTTTCTGCTGCATCTCTAAGGTGTTCTTGGACTGTAACTCCCATTAGCCCTGTGCAATATAGCCAATAGCAATAGATTATGGGGAGTTGCAATCCAACATCTGAAGGACTGTATTCTCCACCCTTAATCTACAGTTAATGTACACTCTAAATGTTTTGATTTTAAAACTTCTCCAGGAAAACATGGGAAAGTCTAGTTCTGTGAAGTAGTGAAAATTCTGCTAATTCTTAATCGCCTTATAGAGTTGAATGTTTTCAAGTAAGAAGCCAGTTTAGGTTTTAGATTTAGATTTTGCAGTATAATTTAGTTACAGATTCCATTTCTGTCTTGCCCAATAGTTGAAGCTCTCTGGGCACTTCACAATTCATAGAAATTACAGATAAAGGACACTAAAACACAGTATAATATGTTCAACGTTCAAAATTTACAGCCATTTAAATAGCTAAAAGCAGTATCAATAAAAGACTAGACCAGATAAGGACAGCTGACATAAAAGACCTATCATATGTCATTAAATGCCTGGGAGTAGAGGTCAGTCTTAACCTGGCACTGGAAAAATGGCAGTATTGGTGTCAGGAGGGTCTTGGTGGAATGGGGGGATACCATAGAGAAGACCCTCGCTCTTATGGAGGTGGCATTTAGAGGAAAACTTTAGATATTGAGCATACAGTCTAGGAATATTTTTGTTAAGGAAAAGGAACATTTGCAAGTGGCCTAAAGTAGTAAAGATCTGAGTCTGGTGAGGATTTCTTCAGGAGTGTGTTCAGCGCTACATCTTTCAGCTGGCATGAGACCATTTCCTCTCACAAAGAGATGTTAATTAGCACCTGACTCAGTTTCCCTGCTGGTTTTGGGGTTTTTTTTCAAATGAGTCAAGAGTGGCAAGGATCCAGTAGGGAAGTGCTTGCATGAACCTGTTTGAGCATCTTGTTAGCATCCTTGAGCTGTACTAATGGAAACTCATCTAAGAAAACTGGACCAAGCTGTGCTTTGGACAGCTCACATAATTCACCCACTGTATCAAGTGGATACAAGATATTTTTGTTCTCGCAAGGGTACTGCAGTGGCCCACAGATGGATCCACAGTGACTGTAGGGCCAACATGTAATAAACCTGGAAAAGCTTTGCTGGATGATACTTGGAGGATTCAGTAGAGGCAGCGGGATATTTCACTGTAGTGTCCTCAATATACCTGACCATATGCAGACACCAGTGGAGTTTTTCCACATAGGCTGTCTCTCATACTGTTTCATCACTCTCAGCTCCCAGGTATGCTGTGGAACTTGACAAGCTCTCACTGCAGAGAAGGCACTCTGGAACGATTGTGTCAATCACCCAGGTCATTTTCTAATTCCTTAGATCAACCAGTTCCCCCAACTGGCACAGCTGGAAGAAACGCAT